TACTCTAATAATATAATATATATAATTCTAAAATTTACTAAAAATTTATCAATATATTAATTAAGGATTCTGGAATACATCGAATTAAATACAGTATGTACATATTAAATATATCATATTAAATCTTTAATCCATGAATTTTATTGCCTTCATAAAGATTATTGATATTTATTGAAACATTTGAGAATCTCTTTCACCGCAACAACGTTCACCAAGAAAGTACTCGCAACCGAGCTCGCAACAGTCCCACGCTATACATATATCGGAATTATACAAACAATATATAATAGTATTTAGCCGTGATACATAATAGTGTAGATAATATCAAATAAGAGACTTGCGATCTCTCCTCTTGCTCATGATCGCGCGTTTTTCCGGATTTGCCCGTCGAATATGAGAAAATCACGAAGTGGCTTTATACTTTAATCACGACGTGAAAAACACTATTATTGAAAGCATATAGACACTGCAAGGTGGAAGTTTCCACGTATTGTCGCTCGTTCTTGAGCATTATCGTTCATTGTGAGAAATATTGCAACTTATTCTTTGCGCGATTTATGAGAATGTTAACTGTAATTCTTTATAAAGTTCAAAAACATTTAAATAATCGCGCGAATATTAACAAGCTTTCGAACATAAAAATTATAGTGGCTTTTTTAAGTATTTTATCAATTGTTTTAAATCTATTTTTTTAATTATTTTAACCCTAGCTATACACACTCTTTTTTCTTTTATATACACATTTGGGGCTCTGGGACCCCATTCATATTTGTTACCGTAACTCTTGTAAAAATGGACATATTTCAATTAATCTTTCTTTCAATCGATGGAGAATTGATTAAGTCCATAATATGTAAAAGTCGATAAAATTAAAGAGCTTCAAAATAGGTTCAAAGAAAAAGAAAAGTTCAAAAATGCGAAAAAATCTCGGTTTAGCAAATTGCGTTGGGGTTTCTGGGACCCCAGTGTGTATAGCTAGGGTTAATTTTATTTTAACGATCAAACATTTTTATTTTTTATATTAATTTATCTTTGTAGGAATAGTAGAGGAAAGCCCCCTATTATGAGATAGGCGCCTGTAGTCATTGTAAAACAAGATTTTAGAATTTGGATGTCTTCAAGTTTCATTGAGACAAGCATTTAAACCTTGTTTATTGAATAAATAAATATTTGGCAATAAATTCTTCATGTAGTGATAGAGTAAGGTCGTACACTAATAGAAAAATACGAGATATGTTGAATTGTTTAATTAAAGAAGTTAGATTTGATGATCATAAAACCATAGGACGTGGAAATCGTAATATAAGATACCCATTCCTAATATGAAATAACCCATGCTCCTATGTTATAGTGAAAATCGTTGCTAAAGTATAAATGTTATTGTACAATAATAAAAAAGACAACCGGAATGAACGCCGAGTGCCTATATCTGCGATGCTTGATTCCAACTACCTGAAAACGAGTTCTGGGTACAATCTATCGCATGCTCATTTTTCGCGCACGCTGGCTGTGTTTGTTTGTATTTTAGAAACATTAAATAAAGTTTTTTTAATTGCAATACTAATATACTTTGCGTTTTACTATCGATTTTTCGGGACATCTCATATTAGGAGCACAATTTTTTAACTTTGCGATTTGCTCACTTTTTACATTTCTTTAATTTAAAAAAAGAATGGAATTTAAATTAAATTTTATGTAACGTTATCTTAAAGCTTATTAAATTCCCTTCAAAATGATCTATTATTTTTTTAAATTCTGCTTGTAGACTTCTAGCATTTACCCAAAATGAACCCTGTATCTCATAATAGGGATCTTTTCTCTATATATGGTATTTATTTTAAATGATTAAAAATCAAGTATTGAGATCTGTTATACAAAATTGTATTAAAATCATTTTTTAAACAAGAATATGCAGTATTTCTCTGTTTCTTAATAAGATATACAGAATATTCTAACTTAAACACCAAAATATCTCAAAAACGTTTTTAAAAAATAATTTTTAAATAAAAGTTGTAAGGTTTGAAAAAAACCATTAAATGAGTACTTAATAAATTCTGGGTCTAGGACCCACTTTCAATCCAACTAATCCAAAGGCCCACATGGATTTTTTCGATGAAAACGCATATGTTTTATTGCAGATTCATATTCTATTGGAAAAAATAAGGAAATTTTGATTCTGGTAATTTTTTGCTCTTCCGACAAACGCAAATACCGCTAATGTTCTTATTTTAAGACGCGTTCTGGCCATTGAAGGTCAAACTTACAACAAATTTATTGTTTTCGAGATATTTTGGTGTCTAAGTCAAATTAGAAAACCCTGTATAGCGAAGAATATTCATAACTTTATGTAATTTTTTATATTAAATATTCCATATTAAATAGAAAGAGAGAGAGAGAGAGAGAGAGAGAAAGAGAGAGAGAGAGAGATCCATAGAATAAATTTAAATTCGAATCTAATATTAAAATTCAAGATAGGTAAATTTTATTTTAATGATCAAATAATTTCTAAAAGTGTATACATATAATTTACATAAAATATATGTATTTACTGTGTACTAATTTGTTTTATTTACATTGCAACTAACGCCAATGAATTGCACATGTTACAAAAATTGAACGATCAATTAACTTTACGTTGCGTTTCAAGAGTGCAAAGAGCTTAATAACAAGCCTTTGATGAAACTTTCGATCTTTTCCCGGGACTTTTGCAGGAAAGCGAATGGCCGCCCAGACAGCTGGAAAAACTAGTACTTTACCAGCAATCCGAGAGACCCTTTCGTTTTCTTCGCGTGTCCCATTCCAATACGCTCTCGGTTGCAGTGCCAATTACTTTCGTGCTGTGTGGAAACGATTACTGCTTTGCTCCCAGAATACTGCACCAACGAACAGATAAATGCTGAGGATTCGGATAAATGATAGTTTTACAGTTTCTTTCGCAAGATGAAGTTTATATTGACAGTGCACAAACGCTCTTGGAAATTTATCGCAAGTTGTAATTTATTTTTAATATCCATGAGAGTTATTTTCCTGGTCCCACGCAAAGCCTATGTTATTATTATTTCGTATAGTACTTTTATAATAACGTGAAATTTTTTATTGTTACACTATTACGTAAGTATACGAAGAGTTCCTTAAAGATCAAAGGAGATTGAATAGATCATATTTCAGAAGTTTTCTACTTTATTGCGATATTTTTTATAAGGTTTTTAGGAATTTCTTTTTAAATGGGTAAATATTTATCAAAATTACTTTTTGTCCTGTATTTATTATTAATTAAAGGCAAATTTGTTTTTTTTTTATAAAAACATGAATAATTAGCAGATCTACTTGATGAATCATTTTAATCAGACCACTTATGGCCATTATAGGAACCAAAATTATTTTAATAACTTAATTCGTTCTATTTTTTCAAAGTTCAAAGACATTTTTAAAAAAGATTAAAAGATTTTTTTATAAATAAATGACATTTATTTATTTATTGGACGAAATGACTAATTCCTGTTCTGCCACAAGTGTTCCAATTAAATTGACGTCTTATTTTTTAATTTCCATTTTCTGAAAATGCATGGTGTACACGATCCACATAAGATTAAATAGTTATGTTAATTTTTCATATTTTATTTTAATATTTTATTTTAGAAAAAATAAATCTATCTTCAAACAATAATATATCAGGAACAAAAAGTAAGTTTTAAAAATCTTTATCCCCCCCCACACTTTTCTAAAAAGAAAATTCAAAATTTCTCAATAAACACAGCGATAAAATAAAAAAATCCTCTTAAAAAAATGTTAGTCTGTGGGGTTTATTAAATTATTAAATTTAAAAAATTAGACAGACTGGTAGGTAGTTAAATTCTTGCTAAAAGAAAATCAACTTCGAATTAAAATCAAAGATTCGATTTTTAGTTGGCAAAAGTACTTATAATCGAACTTTCTGTACGTAATAAAAAATAAAATAATTAAAAAGTAAAATAATAAAAATTACAGAAATTAAATTTTAACAGTTTCTCTTATGAAGAAAGACTTACCATCATGTATTGTCGCGAGCAGAATTCCCAAGCAGAGAATCAGCGATGCCGCTCGCACCTCCTGCAATGAGAAAAATAGTGTATCTCATTAATAATTCATCATCGCCGGAGACGTATAATACAATATGCCAAAGTGAGAGTTTCGCAAATAATTAATTCATAGCGAGTTCGTTCCAACTTTGGTAGCGTTCAATCTCTCGCATATTGGTATAACGAATCGGTAATGAGTCAACGGTGATAACTGATGACTTCAACAATAAACATCAATGAAATGCAGTTAATATTAGAAAGTTTACACTATTCTGTGTAATATATTAACATAAAAATAATATAAATATACTCAAGGGATATAAAAATGCTCTGGAATAAACGAAGACAAAATTCTTAATTAAGAAATTTTCGACATAACAAATGGCGAAACTTTCACTCACATTGTAACAATTTTATATAAAATTTGGATATATTTTTATATTATTAATATAAATAACATATATAAAGTAATATATGCACGTACAAATTAAAATATTTTCTATATATATTTGAAATATTTTATAAGTTTCAATATACCTTGGAAACCACCAAACAAGTGATGCACATATCCTTGGAAATAGAGACACATTCTTTAAAGTTTAATTCATTCAGGATTCACAGCTCCGTGAGAGATGCGTGAATTAAAACCAACAGTCGTATAAAATACCCGTCTATCTTGGTGTTACGCGTACGCTAAATGCCGGTTCAACTTGTAACCGCTTATGTAATGCAGAAATGTAAAGTGCTCGACGATGCACTTGTTCCCCAGCTCGGCTCGGTCAGCGGGCGGCTTTCGATGCAGGATTAATAAAGATCGATGATACGATATATAGGAACGGATGAATAGCGACGTACACAGACAACACGGACGACCTGGCTTCTCGTTATGCAATGGGCGTGCAAAGAGAAAGCAAGAAGAAAGAACGCGGTGAGACTTTCTCGCGGTGAGTTTCGTTACACGTTACGTTAACAACATACTACTCGCCAACGTGATAACAATTAACGCGCCTCCATGGGCCCTGAACGTTTAATGAGGCGGACAGAAATTCCGGGCTGGTCTCTCGCGAAAGACAGCTGTTAGCGCAATAACTTATTGTTAGTTGGATAAAGTATATCAGAAACTACTGGATATTTGACATTCGCAAACATCAAACGAGAAATTAAGAATAATTATACAAGCGCTTTTAACGAGGCATCAAGTAGTTTTGAAGCCAACCCATGAAAAGTTCAACACGCAAAGTCTCAAGAAAATAAATAGACAATAAAATCTTGTTAGTTTTAAGTGTGTCTTTCAGTTTAATATAGATATTTAATATCTATCTAATTTATAGCTAATTTATAAAAATGTTCTGCCACAAATGTCCGTCATTCAAATAATTACGGTATAACGCAAAATTTGTCTTCTTCCGTTTTAAGGTGTATAGCGTTAAGGCTTAAACACAATAGGCACAGGCAACAAGGAATAACGGCTCGTCCAATCAGAGCTCTAGTGTATAAGTTCGATATTATATCCCAGAGCTCTGATTGGACGGCTCGTTATTTCCTGTTGCCTGTCGTTATTGCCCGTGCCTATTGTGTTTAAAGCCTTACACCGCACATTTCTGTAACCGTGGGGATTTAATAATCATCTCGCTGCAATATATTGTCTCCGCGCGCACGTGTACCCCCGCGAAGTAATAACTCGCTCTTGGCGGCACGCGGCTGTAAGTATGCATGCGGGGTGGGTCAAAAAACTCCGGGGCCCCTCTAAATGTCAAATAACTTTCTACGATGCCGGGATCCTTGGAAAGCGAATACATACGGGTGATTCAAGGGAGAGCCTCGAGCGATTACACGTTCGCGTTTTCGCGCCGCTGCGTATCGGCACACACACAAGCGCACGCGTACGAGCGCACATCGATCGTCCAGCGACCGGCAAACCGCAGACTGGGGCTGGTCATTGCTGACTTTCTGGAAGTTTCGTAACCGGAACGGAAGTTCTCGTCGTGCTTTCGACGCGCGATTCGCTACCGACGCGACGTCCCACTCCTGGACGTCGTTTCCATCATTCGACTCTCGATTTCTCATGTTATTTCGCAAAAAAATAAATAATCTCTTGAACTTTGATGAAAAGATCTAAGCTCGAAAATCTAGTCATTTTCCATTTTACGTGATCACAGGTTTAAAGATACGCAAGCTATAAATTAATAAAAAGAATTAAATCACGCGAAATTTAGTAAAAAAAACATTTATTTCTATATTATTACATTTCAATTTCATTCATCATATATTCGCATAACATATTTATTCATCTACAGTATACTAATACGATTAATATGTCTTAAATCTCACATATTTTACTTTTTATTGTTACATTACAACCATTAGCACTATTATCTCTAATTGGACTTCATAAAGAAACTACGACCAAACTACTTTCCTCTTTAATGTGGAACGATTAACTTTGACCTAGTACTCATACGTGCGATTCGATGCAGCTCAGTAAGCATTTATTTAGCTTATTGTGTGAGAGTTCATCAAGGATCTCTTGGTGCTTATAATTGAGAAAGGTTCTTACAACGAGTAAGACGTGCAGGTATGCAACTCCGTCGTGAATGCAATACGTACAATGTTTTCAGCTGGATTTTGTATGTGTCGGATTTATCCTGTGTGCAGAATAAATATCAGCTAAAGAAACCCGCATGTTGCTTGAATATTCAAATTTATTGATCTTTATGAATATCCCTATTTTTTTATGGTACAAAGATACAACTCATATAAAAACAAATTGTTATGAATAAAAATCTCGAGGCAAAAGAAAGAGAGAGAGAGAGAGAGAGAGAGAGAGAGAGAAGAGAGAAGTTGAGTATAAAAAAGAAAATTAAAAATATCTTACGTTGCATCATTTTTAATTTCTCTTTTTTCTCTTTTCTTTTTCTTACTAAATCGTTTTTGTAATAATTGTTTCCGTTAGTATCAATTACGTTTGATTTATTTAACAACTTCTGTATAATTTCTTTACAGCAATATAAATAACAGAATGTTAACAAGCATTGAAATGCGCACATTTAAAAAGGAGTAAAGAATTTTTATATTTGATCTAAAAATATCCAATACGAATATACAGATACAAATAATGGTTTCACTCAATTAGAATAAACGCTCCGATATTTCTTATCACCATAATTGTATAATTACTCCATAAAGAATATTGTTAATATTACGTAAATAGTCTTGCCATGTTGCATATAAAAAGAAAGTGATAATAACCGGAACAATAATATATATAATTTAATTGTACGCGCATTGACATCAAGATTACTGAATTATTCCCGTTGATTGCCAAATTCCGCCCAGCAACGTAATAAACATATTTCGCTTAATTATTTACTAGCTGAACCAATATACTAATCGCAGCTTCCGCAGTGAAATTCCAACTATAGTTGCATTCGACCGATCGAGAAATAATTGAGAATTAAAACACTTTAGGAATCCGAATCATTTCATAATAATTTTCTCTTTCTGATGGATTATATATTCTCCTCATCTTGCACAGTAAATAATATATAATCCATCAGAAAAAGAAAATTATTATGCGTTATTGACAAAATAATATTCATTATACAAATTAAATCAACTTATAAAGCTATAATTTTTTTGATAAGACAAATTTCCACATTCTAAACGTGAAAAAGTGATCTCTATATTTAAACAATGGAAATAGAAGATTGATTAAAGCTTTCCAAGTTTATAGACGTTCGAAAATCATCGGTTGCTCTTTTCAATAATTGCAGAATTATTCAATATTAAAATTATCCTCAGTTTTCAACACCAAAGATTCAATATCAATATAAGGAAAGTTAATAGGATAACGATGATGTTTTGTTTAATAGAATGGCTATGACATTTTCATACTTTATCTTCAGCGTGATAATTGCAGTCCATGATTTAGGTATACAGTTACAACCGAGATCATCAAATCGACCTCAACCGCGAAACCTTTCGAGAATCCTTTCAAAAGAGGAGTTTCATCGCGACATCCAGCTTTTACATGTGCGTTTTTCCCAAAGATAGATTTGTTGACTTTAAGGAATTTAAACCCGAACAATGTTTAAAATATTATACGTTACATGTCGACATCATTTTCTCAAATATCGCGAAAGATCGATTGGACCAATTAACTGATGCAGCCATGAGACGAAGAAGAAAATTTCTCTTCGAGCTCTTCGGTAGTTAACGAGTTAATTCTTCCCATAACTTTCAAAGAGGAAGTAGCATTCGAGTTCTTCTCTCCGTTTACACGTCTTGACGCAGCGTTGTATCCTTTTTCGGATCCCATGAACGATAATCTTGCCGGTGGTAACGTCGATCAGCGTTGTAATTTAACGTGTATTTATCGAAATGACAGCTATAGTAATAAACGATAATAAACAATGTCGAGCTTTATTATACATCGAATTGCTTATTATCGGCAGAAGCCAGATATCGGCGTTATTTCCAGATTAGAGAACAATTTTATATAATGTTCCAGAAAGAATAATAGGTCTGTTTTTTTTAGCTAAAGTTCTTGCGTTGGGGAAAGAAAAAGAGAAAAGATGAACCGTGCAAAAAAGTTCAGCTAAAAAGAACAGGTCTATAATTAATGGCGTAAAAATATTTTCCGCGTCTGTTTTATTTTTATTTTTAACATGCAAATGAATTATGTTGCTCTTTTTTGGCTTATGCAAATGTCTATAACCAGCTAATATATTTCAGATAATACCTATATCTCTTTTTTCATTCTCATTATTTATATTTACAATTTATTTATATTTACAATTGTAATTTACTTTTAGCATAGATGGTTTTTCTTCTTTTCAAGAATTAAGATTTAATAATTTTTATCACACGTTTTATAATCAATGTTTTTCTTTCAATCTACACCAAATTATAATTTGCTGAGATGTCTTATGCAAATTGAAAATTTTATGTGTCGTCACTGTTCCTGCGCAGGAATTCCGAGTTAATGTTCTCCTTATCTAGATTTTTATCAGCTATCCCGCGGGAGTAAAG